AGACTTCACTGCTGTTTCTTCATTTCATTAGCATGTACTGTACAGATGTTCTCAAAAGACAGGAGGTTAATCTTGCCGTAAACAGCTACTGGAAATCCTTTAGGTTTGTGTGCCGCGCTCCACCCTCCTGGCCCACCAGCCTCCCGTCTCTCACTCACGGCGTCCGGCTCCTTCCCTGCCCACCTCCATCCTGACCCTTGCTAAGTCGCACCTTTAATTGAATGAGGAGCTACTCAGTGATTAATAGCTGCTTGACTTGGCACCAATGCCTCCGCCATTATTTCAGTGATGAATAATTAATACCAAAATCATAAATGCTTCATTGTTTTCACGTCAGTCTTGCAAAGCAACAGGCTTTCACGAGAAGTTTTTCTTTCTTGATTTAAATCATTGTTATGCCGCCCTGTTTTATTGTATTTGCACCCACGGGTTCTTAATAAATCTCAGGTGTCGTGGCCTTTTCATGGGGATCTGCATGTAATATCAAAGAAACCACTAAAGCTGATGTTCTCACCATGCAGGTATGCAGTATTACAGCTGGTGCAAATATCCAGTAAGATGTACCCGTGCAGAGAAGACTGCTAAACTAACCCCATGGTCCTTTCCTGGCACAGTGAGGTGGAAATTTCAGGTCCAGAGAGTAAAAATCCAGACCGTGATTTTGCTTCAACCAACCAGTTGAGCTTAAAGAGTCACAGGTACAGAGTACTCAGCTGGTTGGTTGAAACAAAATCATGGTCTGGATTTTTACTCTCTGGACCTGAAATTTCCACCTCTGCAGGGGGCTGGGGAAGCAGATCCACAGCCTTGGGGATGTGAAGCTACAGTGCTGCTCCCCCCCCCTCCCGAGCCTCTGCACTGCCATGAAATTTATGGATCATTTTATTCATTTTGCAGCTATTGTTCAGGTAAACTGGTTGCAAGCAATCACACGTGGCTGCTTAGCCAAATAAGTACCAATCAGTCTCACTTATGGTGATTAGCTGGCTGTCTCACAGTTTTTACATCCACTGTAGGCAATTTTGTAGCTCTAAACAGCAAACACTGGCCAGTATGAGAGGAATCCAAGAAGACCACAGCGGTGTGACAGCTAGTCTAAGGTCATGATCTGTGATGGAGAGCAGAAGTATGTCCAGAGGACCAGAAGAATGGGACAGTTAATATGGCCTACTAGGCCTTTCATCTGGGCTTTTAAGCGACTCTAACACATACCCTGCCTACTCTTTTATGTCATACGAACAGAATAAGCAATGCAATCTCTACCAGATACTGCTCCTCCTGCTGGCAAGACTATGTTAGTGCAGAATCAGGCCGCTGTCCCAGGTGCTGAATGTCCGCCGTCGCTCACCACGTCTAAACATGACCGGCAAACACTGACCCTGTTATCTAACCCCATCCTGAAATTTCAGGAGTCAACGGAAACCGTGTTGCGCTAATGTTGTACGTCTGCTCTTATTGACCAAGGGTTCCTCTCTGCATGACCTGAGTTTATAGAGACGTGACTTCAGGCATCCAAAAATCATCCTGTTATCTTTGGGAATTTAAAATAAAATCTTGTTCTTCAGAGAACAAGAACTTGACTCAAAGGATACACTTATGTATATATGCGTCAGCCTGGGTATTGGCGTGATTATAATCACATTAATCTGTGTCAATTGTTTTTTACTACACATTAATTATAAACTGTGAAATATTAACTGAAAAGAAATAATCAAAATTAAAGACTAAAAAGTTGATGGGAAGTATTTATCTGAATGGCTTAAATCGTGGTCTTCATCCTCTTTGTGTCAGGCAATAATTATGATAAGATTTCCCATTCACATAACACAGAGCCCTAATTTGTAGCCCACAGTGAACACTGGCACTGTAATAATACAGTGAGAACACTGCACACAGCCTTTGTGACCCATCCAATCCAACTTTGCCCAAATCTTTTACTTGTTGCAGTCAGAGAATAATGGCCCAGTAGTTTTCACAGCCTATAGAGCTGGATGCACCAGCTATTTAATGGACAATGGCTTCTACGAGAAATATAGATATATACAAGCGTAACGCATCAGTCTTTTATGCCCTGATGCCATTTGTCTGGGATTTCACCAGTGCCCAGAAGGAGACAGATCTACCAAATTAACATAAAACTCCACTCAGGGTAATAAAGCTGTCATTGACTTGGGTGGTCTAGACTAAGGTAAAATTAAAATAAACATCTATGATGCCAACTGAAAACAGAAAAGGACCATCAATAGTGCAGTATAACCTAAAAGCCTCTTTCATTAACAGGAACCAGACAAATGAAAAGATCTAGACTGAAAACACTCATGAGCCATTGATCTATAGCCCTGTAAAACTTGAGAGGTAAAAAATATCCAAAGATAAGAAAAGCTAACATAAAATTCATTGACCCAATACTGAATTATTTGCAAGATGAAAGTCTGATCGTGTGAGAGAAAAACTGCATTGACTGAATTATACTAAATTACAAAGCAGGATCACAGAGTTTAAAGACACACCCATAGTCCTGCATCCATTACAGACACATTGCATAGCGCAGGTGGGGAAAAGAAGGCAACGATCTGCTTGCAGCTCCAAGAGACAACAGGGGTTTATTAGGGGAACTAAAACATACACTGGGAACAAATCACAAAAATAACAGAACCAAAGAAGGGAAAACACTACAAACAGAACTATGAACAAACCTACAAAACGGAACTATGAACAAACCTACAAAACGGAACTATGAACAAACCTACAAAACGGAACTATGAACAAACCTACAAAACGGAACTATGAACAAACCTTCAAAGGGAGCAGCACAGAGTAACATTCACAATGAGTGACTAAAGAACTGAGCAGGGCAGGCGCTTAAATACACAAAGCAACTGGGCTAACGAGGGGCAAGGTGTGGAACATCAGACAATCAACCAATAACGACAGTGCAGGGAAAACAGGCAGCAGGTGCAGTAACTTGTACTAATGAACACAAGATTAGGGAAACTCCAACAAACACTGAAAGAAACATTAATCACACTAGGAATTCTAGACTTAAAATATAGGAACACATGGAACATAATAAAACAAGACACAAGCTTCACAAAGAGAACAGAAAAACCAATAATTAAACAGGTGAGACTGGTTCCTGGCCAGCCTTGAACCCATGACTAAAGAATTCTGGCCTCTCTTCCACACACTCAACCTCTTGAGCCACTTTACATCACATAGACAAGAACTCATTTGAATTATGCATCACAGGAAAAATACGCACCCCGCTTTCACTACGGTGGAGTCATCAAGGTCAACTGTACAACAATTTGTAGCACACATGCAATTTTGTAGTTGGAGACGGGCTTGTGTATTTTCACCGTTTTGGTCCCTGTATGCAGTTACATCAAAACATCACCATGTTAATGTCATCTCCAAGGTTCACCAGTATACGTGCCAGGGTACAATGAAGATTAAATAAAGCCGTGAAAGAAATGTAGACATTACTGCAGGGTTAACCTTAACTGCTAATGAGTATGTAACAAACTTCACAGAGGCTGTTTTCACAACCTCATCACTGCAGCAGACAAAGAAACCATTTCCTCAAGTTAATAGCTGATTTCTGTAGAACTTAGGGTGGGAAATAGCTCAAGACACATCGTGACGCAGACACCAAATAGAAAAACTGGAATTTTAAGAAAAGCTTACATCTTAGGTTATGGTTCAGCTCTTTGCAGTTGAAGAGAAAGACGGTCTTCCCTATAGGAACCTAGGAATTGTTTTAAACTTGGGTTCTTTCTGTCGAAACTTTGCGAAAATGGTGGTGACACTATCTCCCTTGCATGCAACAAACTAATTCCATATCTACCCAGTCAATCTCCGCATCTGACTTACGTTCAGGAAAATTTACACAACAAAGTGACTTCATCATCAAAGAACAAACCAGTCAAGTGTGGAAGACCCAGTGAATGATGTGAATCTAATTACTCTTGCCAGAAAATTATTATTATCATTATTATTATCATTATTTAAATAAACAGGCACTCATTCAGATGCAAATAACCAGCTACTCCTGCTGCATCTGGTTTCTTGCACCTGATTGTCCTGCGTAAGATCAAATCATGCTTGACACCTGAATTAAAGGTATTAATTTAACACTGAGAATGTTAATGAAGACCATGGGGCTTCTCATCCTACTTCATCTGCTAAATTGATTTTATGTAAAGCAAGTGAGCAATTACAGAGAGTCTGAAGAGCCAAAGAAATCTTAACATATATTAAGACATGGCCATAGAACATGGAGATCAAACTACTGTAGCAATCCTTAATGGTTACAGGTGCCAATGAGTTTACTATTTATACAATGAGTCAGTTAATCCTTAAATGCATTTTAGCGTTAGGCAATATGACTGCTACTGTGCTGAAGGGGAAAATTATACAAATACCAAATTAGAGCGGTATTTAAGCATCACATAAGGATGTTCTGATGAGGGCCACACCACTGAAAATTACCAGCGACTAACTATTTCTTACAGAATGGGCCCATTTTAGATAAAACCAGAAATTCACAACACACGAAAGGAGAGACTATTCTATCTGACTGTTTTGTCATCACGTTTTTGACTATTGTCTAAAATTTCTTCTTTTGAGTTGCACAGACTGCTTTGGATAAGTAATTTTTGTAAGTCTTAATATTTATCTGGACTGCAAGTCTCTTGCACATTCGTTTAGAACGCTTGCTTGCGTTATTGTTAAAAGTTGTTTTGCATTATTTTACTTTGTCCTATGACTAAGTATAATTGCTCTTGCGTCGTGTTTGTTTTGGATGTATAGAGAAGCTCTGGAGATGAATTCAATTTTATTCTATTTTTTTATTTCTGTTTGTCCTTACGTCATTGTTCAAACAGGATCGATGCGATTTTGTTTACCGCAAGCAACATTGCATATTCAGTCCTTGCAGAAGAGGACCCTTTACGTGCGTCACATGGTTTTCCCAATGACACGGTCAGCAGAGCCAAGTAACATTAAATCAGGTATTACTCATACAGTCCGTCATAATTACCAGACAGATAAATTAACCAGTGGAACTGATTGAAAGCAAATGAAGATACCTGTCACCCCAAAGCCTTCTGCTATATAAGCCTAGCGTGCACCCAAAAGGCAACAGCAAAGCGCGCGGCCAGCGAACGGGAGGGACTGGAGACACTGGGTGGGGAAGGCGGACTGTATGGAGAGGATACCATCTTCGCAAGTGTAACGTTATCAGTACAGAGCCGTTGTAGGACATTTTCCCACGTTAAGGGCTGCAGTCGCACTAACTAAACATTTATTTTTCCACTTTTCGTAGTATCTCACAAACTTGCACGCAATTCTTCGATCTGTCTTTTCTGCTAGAGGGGCAGTTTCACAGTTGCGCGCAACAGCCGACAGAAACATGAAGCTGCTGTTATCTTTTGTGGTAGTTTTCATTCTTGCAGAAGTCTTTTGTGAAGAAGTGGGTCCAAACGAAGGTGTTAACTACTGGACGCACACCAGTGAAATACCGGTAAGCGTTCCTGTCATATTCCCCATTGTAATGCATTAAAAAGCGCTTTACTGAAATTACTCGTATTAAGATGTAAACGTTATACAGCAAAATTAATTAGCATTGATCTATTGGTTCATCAATAACATTATTATTTGTTCTTATCTGATCTGTATTTAATGCGCTTTTAATATTATTCAGACGTATTGTTTTTATTTATGAACAGTTTCTAAAACAATTCCTGGAAGAATTCAGACGAAATAGAATCAGTTAAGCAGACGGATTCATGTATCAATAAAATGTGCTGTCTCCATAGTTTTGCACCAAACAGCCGCTTTTAAATGTAACTCACGTTTGACATTGCGGACTGGACGACGGCCAAAGCCGCCGGTTAAGGGTTCGGTGCTGAGACGCGCGGCTCTGGGCGCTGGATGCATGGGGTGCAGCGCCAATAGCCGCTGTATATCACGGATACGACACAATTCTCAATCTTGCTTTACTGGGATCGGTTCGACATGGATATGCGGACAGGCAACAGCTCTGTTTAATATAATTACCAATGAGCACCCTTTCGTAACCTACAGATTGCAACATTTAAAATACTACTAACCGAATAACTACTATTATAATTGTCAAGCGACCCTGTACATCTTTGGAATATGGTTGGATGATAACTGTGCATCTTTTGTGTAAATACACAGTTTCCCTGCATACAATCCTACAGTTTTCCTACGCGTTATGTCACGTTGATTTTATTTCCTTCTCAGGATGACTGGCTTGCGTCTGGCCCTTTTAAGGAGATCCTGAGAAGAATGACAAGGAAACCGCGGCCACACCAGTTCTTCGGTCTGATGGGGAAACGGTCCCCCCGTAAGATAATCAGTCTTCCGTGTTCATTATATATTATACAATAAAATGAAAGAATATGAATTCATTTCCATCTTATTTTAAAAATTGCCTTTACTTTTTTTTAGTTACCACAAAGGCCTAATATTAACAGTTACAGACTTCCTTTAATTAATGATCAAATATTGGGAAGAAAATGTCAAGTGCCAGTTAATGTAATTTGGGAATTTCCAAGGGACACGACTGTAGTTTAAAAGGATGTGCTATACATTACATGTCATCTAATGTTTCGTAGCATTTATAAACCTTCACGGCTAAAGCATGTTGTTTCCTCTGTTTTCCCTCCTTTCTTGTAACAGCAAACCCACAGATAACCCGCAAAAGTGAGTACCAGAATGTTCATTCACGCAACACAGCAATATGTCAACAGTGTAGTTGCTGGTTGTAATTACACTATAGGAAACGCAACAAAAACGCGTTCGAGGCTATTAGGTCGGATGTTCTTACGCGCTTCAGGGAAAGACACCTGACACACCTGTCGTCAGCGCGCATGTCTAAAGAAATTCTACAATGGGCTTTTGTTCATAAGTGTTAAGTGTGCTTTATGTCAGAGCACCAGCAAAGGGCATCCTTACTCGAAGAGGCTGATGCGTGGTTCGGTATGGGGGTTTGCGTCAGTGTCAGGTCGATCGGAATGACGGCGGGGCGGGGCGGAGGCAAAAAAGGAGGTGTCGGTGCATCGCGTGCATCACCTCGGGAGAGACAGAGACCCCCTCGGGAGAGACAGAGACATCGTACCGGCTGCGCAAACAGGCATTAGGGAGAATTATCTCATATCATTTACAAGCTTTCAGAACGTCAAAAAGGATGCGTTCAGGAAATAGAATGGGCATCTCAGGACAATAATGAGTTATATAAAACCGATACTTTTCCTGATGAAAAATATATACGATCGGACAATGTGCTGTTCCAGAAAGCAGGCACATTCTTATTTTATACCCGTGATAAACTCAAGTCTGCATCTGCATCATAATTTTGACTTAACGAATGACCTAAAATCATTTTGCATTTGCTGTACGACACCTTGGAATTGTCCCTAGATTGCTTGTGATGCATTTTATTCAAGCGACACTCGGTTCAAGTAAATCCAATCCATAAATCATCTATTTATAAACTATAAATTCCCTATATCTTGTAAGTTAGAAGTTTTGGGCTAAGCTGCTACCGACTTTTGAATCGACTTCAACAGACCTCTGCAATTGAGATTCAGAGACAAACCATGCAAAAGCTATTTAATCAATCATTTGACTATGCATCGTAAGGACAGGCTTTTAGTTGCAGCAAAGATAACTGAGAGCCAAAATAATCAGAAAATTGACGTGGTAATAATTAAACGGCCAACAACAAATCGCTCAGGAATAACGCGAAATCAAGAGACAGGATATACTGTACAGAGTGTTTTAAGACAGCTATGCACATTTTACGATATGCAAATGCTACTACAGTCCCAGGTCTTTCATCGATATCTGTCATTATCCATGTCATTAAAATTCCGGATGGGTAATTTTCTGTTCGCAGGACAAAAACTTAACTCCTTCGTCGGACTTATGGGGAAGAGGAGTCAAGAGGAACCAGGTAAGAAGAAGAACGATCTCCGATTTCCTAGATGCACATCCCTTTCAGAACGAGGTAATTTACCTCCGTGGTCTTAATATACTATTTTTTTGTCTTTCAGAGTCGTACGAATGGAACACAGAACACAATTACGGTGAACGCTGATCTGCATTGGTTTAAATCTGCTTTAGCCCTCAGAATGTCATTCTAAAAAAAGATGGAAAGATAAGATTTTATATATAATCAATTGTAGGTTAAATAAAACTTTTTCCCCCCACATTATGATTATAGTACTTCTGGCAAATACGTTCTTTTCTTTTTTTTGGGGTACAAATGTGTTAATTTACTATTACCACAAATATAAAACAGTACGTTTTTCATATGTAAATTGCAGGAGTTCCGGATAGTCAAGCAAAAGACTCTTACGGAGAAAATTGCGTTGCACTGCCATGTTCTGTCTAGTGCCTCATAGTTGACTTTATCTACTCTGCGTTGTAAATATGTTCCTGTGTCTTTTCGTGCATGTATCTCTGGCTGTACATTAACGAGTCGTTATCAAGCAATCTGGTATGATAGTAAATGGCATCCTGGTTTGTCATAGTGGCTTAATATTAAAATTATTTTTTTATGAGTTTTATTTTACATTTTTCTTTAGAACATTTTCAGACTGGTAACCTTCCCGCGAGAAAAACATTTTCCCTTGAAACGCCCTCTGGCGGAAGAAAGGGGAGGTTCAATACAATTTCGCAACGGGGAAACCGGTATTTTACAGTAGTCGAGTTGACCAAGAAGCCAGACATGAGTAATGTCTTGTATCGGACGAGTAAAACAGTTTGCGACACAATGCACATTACTAAATCGCTTCATAGCAGACCAAAAGGCCTTGTAGATTAATCACATCGACATCAGCTTTTATTTAAAACAAAGCAATATTGTGTATTTTAAGCTCTTGTAAAAAAGACTGGCAGGCTAATTCTCATATGCACATCGATTTTTTATTTAGATTCTTAGATTCGTGATTTAAATTTATCAACAAAGGCTTCGGTTCTGTCCCCACGTGTAGGAACAAATCATGAAATTTCTCTAAATTGCCCACGAGGTCAGTAACCATTACCACTGGCTATTTACGTACCTCATACTCTGACAGCATTTACGATCTCCCCAGTTTCTTCTTAAAAAAATAAGGTAGCATATGTTGAAACCTTAAGGCAGGGGTGCCCAACTCTGGTCCTGGGGTGGGGGGGGGTGGAGCCCTGTGTAGCTTAGTTCTTTCCCTATTCCACCACAAACGATTCTGCTCAAAAGCTGTGTGGTAATTAGCACAAGGAGTTGAATCAGGTGTGTTAAATGAGGGGAAACCCAAAAATGTGCAGGGCTCTGGCCCCCCCAGGATTGGAGTTGGACACCCCTGTCTTAAGGTGACAGAACGCAGTGCAGCTCCATCTGGGTATCACAGTGTTTCGGCTGCCTGACAGTGTAACAAACCACAGGACAGAAGGTTAAATGAACACGCACAGCTCTGGGTACAATGGCAAGTCAGAGACTGGAATATTATCTAGATGCTGCTCACATTTATTCACGCTTCAAAATATACGATCTTTCAGTGTTCAGTGTGACTACAGATATAAATGAAAATCTTGTGTGATTTGCATTTCATGCATTTTAATTCAAGCCTGCTTATTTTCAAGTGGACAGCGACAAGCATTTCACCTGCCCTGTGTATCTTTGGACTGTGGGAGGAAGCTGGAGCACCAGCGGAAAACGCACACAGACGAAGAGACGAGCGCTGTGCTGCCGACTGTGACAGGAAGCAAACAAAACGTAGCAGCCAGACAAGAACATAACTAGATCATCAATGTCTGTCACAGATGATGGAGAACGTGTCCGGAAAACAAGTAACGATCTTAAGCACGACGAAAATTCTGTCCCAAGCAGTATGATAGTGGACAGATGTACCGTTTCTGGGGTGGGTGGTGTTTCAAGTTACTATGGAAAACAGTGAAAGTCTGCAGTTCAGCAGTCTGGTAGGTTTAGGCACGCCATCGTGGGGGACGTTGTCCTGGGTCTTACAACCAAATAAGCAACATGGCTTCTAACAAATGGTCTTACATACATACTTTGGTTACTGTATCCCATTTAATCTAAACGGCCCATCAGTACAGCAGAATTCTGCTGCTTCTCCTGAATATACGGCATTCCACAGATTTTCATCCACACTGGATTAATTGCATACTTACCAAATACCATTGTGCGCCAAATCCACATTACTTGATGTTTTTTCAGTAAATATTTCATAATTCTGTCTACTCCAGCATTTTTAATGTAAACAAATTATAATCTACACTTTTCATTCACCTAAAGGAGATTTTTTTCTATTGACTAAATTTCGCTTTATCAATAGAAGGCAGAAGAAGGTTCGAGCCGTGCCTCATCAGAACGCGCCGCTCTGTGGCTGGTCGTCCTCCTGAAGCTTGTCTGCATTGGTCGCCTTGTCTGGCTTGTATATGGACAGGGTCCTGGCGGAGGGGTCTGTGGCCTTGATCCACTGCGGCATCCAGTAGTGGGACAGCCACTCTGCCCGACGCGGGAAATGCTTCTCAAACACCTGCCGGTAATAGAAGGCCTCTTTCGTGCTGGGGGGGTTATATGGAAATGTTTTGGTGGCATTTTCCAGCTGCGTATCATTCACCTTCAGGAGGAAACAGACAAACAGAAAAACATTGACACATTTACAATAAATAACATGCGAAAAAGGCAAAGATAATTTTCTGTCTGCTAACAAGTTCAGGTGAATTGCAGCATTCACAAAAACAGTCTGTCGAGTGTGAAGGCAGAAGTACTGGAGCCCTCTAGTGGCCGTTAGCAGCCATTGCCATTTCGGTGAGCGGCCACGTGTGAAGTCACCTCAGACTCGAGGTGGTCCTGCAGGCTGGAGTACCACGACTTCTTCGTGGATGTCAAACCATCGCTGAAGGCCTCTTTGCGCCTCCAGAGGATGTCGTCCGGAATCAGGTTTAGGCCCTTGAAGGCATCTCTCAGCAGGTGCTTTTCCACCCCATCCTGGAGGAACCCACACAACATCTGATCTTCTGAGTCTTTAAATCAGTTTCATCATTACTGATGTTACAAACAAAATTTCAGAAGGTTTTCTAAAAGCTAATTTTCAGATGTCTGAAAGCTTATCATTCTTGGATTAAACAAACCTTACTTTATTTAGAAATAGGTCTTTTAGAAAAAATATGATGTCACTTCATACTCATGTAAGATTGTGGGACATACTAAGACATGCAATTTCACACCCAAATATTCAATAATTAAAATTAAAAAAAAAACTAATTGCAAAGGGGGTACACTCACCTTGGGGACCCTCATCTCAGGGGGCAGGGACAGGTAATACGCTGTGAATCTGTGGTCCAAGAAAGGCACTCTAAGCTCCAACCTGTAGGGGGCGACAGAGAGGCACATGCCGAAATGAGGGCAGGTCCCACCGTATGACAGAAGCACCAGATTCTGTTCAAAATTCAGGAAAGAAAATGTTTAAAAATCTGTTGAACAAACTGATCAGCTCCGGGGTAGTTTCTGAAGTGCAGTTAGCTTGAGGCTAACGCTTAGCCGCGCAGCGGGAGACTCACCCATATGCGGCTGTGGTGCGGTCGGCTCGCAGCACGTCAAACAGGTACAGCTCCTTCAGCAGGCGAACGCTGTCCTCTGCCGCAGCCTTTGGAGACGGCGCCTGGAGCAGGCACGGTGCGGGGGCCAATCAGATTACACCGCCGAGAATGATCCAATCAAATTCAAACACTACTGGGGAGTGGGCTGGGCCAATACAAAGCAGTTAAACTCCTCTCTGGTGGTTTACCTTGTGGAAGTAGATGTACCCTTGAGTGAGTTCATCGGAACCCTCGCCAGAAAAAATTACAACGCTGTCTGTCTTTGCTCGGATGTACTCCGACATCAGATACATCGCTGCCAATAGGAAAACAGCCAGATATTTACCAGTAAAGAATATAACAGGTACAATCACATATTTTTACTTTCATTTGGGCAAGAAAAAAATCCAGGCACTGTGAAATGAAACAGAACAACACAAGGCCAGATTTTAAGAACTACCTGGAACACAAAGACAAAAAAAAAAAACGAGTTTCACGGCCTTTTGAAATAAAATGACAGCAACGGAATTTAAAGGTGCATCTTCTCCAGTGTCACATCAAATCAATAGACAAATTAATAACAAACAAAGCCATATGAAAAAGCTCCTACAACAGAGGACAACATGTGGAGTGAAAGTCTCACCAACAGACGCCCGGATGGTGGTGATATCATACGTCTCCAGGTGGTAGATGACTTTGTCCACAGCCTTGATGCCCTCCTCCGGCGTGAAGTTCACTTCATGGTGTTCGCTGCCGATGTGTGCTGCCACCTAGTGGGAACAGAAAGAAATTAAGTGTTCAAAGTATTTTGCTGCCATTGACTACAGCTGAAACACAAGATGTCAGAGGTCACCTTGCGCGCTGCCAGGACGTCGGGGCTGTCTTCAGCGCCGATGGAAAAGGTTTGAATCTTGTACTTGATATCCTCCTCTTTGGCCAGTTTCATCAGTGTGGCAGCCACCAGACTGGAGTCTAGGCCACCTGGATGGGTGACAGCAAGTGGCAAGAACGTCTGAACGGGCATCGGCCAGGAGGGCCGAGTGGAAAAGCCTTACATCATCCAGCAGCCGAGTGAAAAGCCTTACAATCCAGCCTTACATCATCCAGCATGAGGGAAAAGCCTTACAATACAGCCTTACATCATCCAGCATGAGGGAAAAGCCTTACAATACAGCCTTACATCATCCAGCATGAGGGAAAAGCCTTACAATAC